ATCCAATTAAATATAATAACACATAATATTTCATAAGGATAAACAATAATAAGGTATAGGCTTTGGAATCGAATCAAAACACTTTCGATCCAAAAACATGGAAATAAGTACATGTATATATATACACATAGAATGATACAATATATTTTCTCTCTCTCTCAACACATAGAAATAAGTGCATATGTCTATATCTCTAGATATGCATGTGATAACACATTGAATGTCTCTCTAGATACAATTTTCTCTCTCTCTCAACACATGAAAATAAGTACATGTATATATACATATAGAAATAATTAAGTACATATGTATACCATATAGAATCTCACTCTAGATATATATAAGAGATAGAATATATAATTACTAAATCCAATTAAATAAATCCAACATGAAATTAGATAAACCAGTAATAGATAATACATTTTAAAAAATCTAACTAACTAAAAAATTACCTAAAAAACTAACATATATCACCTAACAATCTAACTAACATATATCAATTATCTAATAAATCTAACTAACTAAAAATCTAACTAACATATATCAATTATCTAATAAATCTAACTAACTAAAAAATCTAACTAACATATATCAAAAACTATCTAAAAACTAACTAAAAAACTAAATAACTACTAAATATTGTTTATTAGTATTATCTAAAAAACAATGAAAAATCCAACATTATAATCGATTTACGGCAAAGTTTCCCAAGTGGCGAAGTTCGACGACGAGGGTTTGGCGGGGGCTCGACGACGATGAAGACGAGGCTTGCAAGGAGGGCGAGGCTCGACGACGCAACCGAGCCGTCGAGGCAGATGAGATCGAGTTCGACGGCGGTGGGCGCGGGAAGCCTCGGCGACGGAGGGTGGGATCGGGTGCAACAAGCGGAGACGGATCTTGGCGATCGCGATGCGGGGAGAATGGCGCGGCCGGGTGGGGTAGTAGACGACGACGGCCTTGGCAGGCAGACGAGCTCGACGACGGCGGATGGCGCGGCCGAGACGAGATCGAAGATGAAACGAATGAGACGTTCGATATATATAGGTAGGGACCCTTTAGTCCCGGCTAGTAACACCAACCGGGACTAAAACCCTTTAGTCCCTACTGGTATTACTGACCGGGACTAAAGGCCCAACCCTTTAGTCCCGGTTGGTTTGACTAGCCGGGACTAAAGGTATTTTTTTAAGCAGCAAGCAAATTGCCGCCCACCTTTTAGTCCCGTTCTTAGTCCGGCCGGATGAAGGCCTAAAAGTTTTGGCAACCCGCCAAACAGTAATTGGCACAGGGTTTTGATTTTGTTTAATACAAGGTTAAACAATTAATTCCATATCAACTTCAATACTTTGCAATATTTATTTTAAAAAATACTATTGATTAACTAATTATTTATTGTAAATAGGAAAATTTTGTAACCTAAAGTTTTTAATTTCTTTTATGAATATAGAATATAAATGTTACTAATACTAAGTATTTTGTTAATGCAAAAATATATTTGTAACTTAAAATTAATAAAACTAATATTATTCGATAGGAAATTTATTATCACATTATTGTAACGTCAATGTTTCAATTTTTTTCGGTTTTTGACCAAAATTGACAGAAATTTTTGTTAAACCTATAAAAATAAAGAAAATATAGTATTTTTTGTTGTACAACTTTTTCAAATGAAAAATGGCCTATATAAGGATTGTTGTTTTTCAATTCGACCAAAATTAACAAACTTGGTATTCAAAACTTTTCAATTCAAGTCATTTAGAGTCCATAATACTAGGGACAAAGTGTTGTTTTTTTCATTTGACCAAATTTGACTTGGTCAAACTTGCTCAAATGAGACACTAAATGACCTCAGATGAAAAAACTCTGAATACCAAGTTTGATCATCTCAGCAAGATCTACAATTGTTACATAGATCATTTTCCCATTTGAGAAATTTTATCAAACACTAGTCACAATTTTCCTTATCTCTTATAGACTTCTAAAACTATGTCACACACTTGTGAAAATTGAACTACATTTTGTTTAAGCTTTCTCAAATGAAAAATGGTCTATATAAGGATTGTAGATATTGATGATATGAACAAACTTGGTATTCAAAACTTTTCAATTTTAGACAATCTAGGGTTCCGAAAACTAGTTTGTAGGCGCCAAAATTTAAAAATCATAAATTTGAACCGTCCAAACTTTCTCAAATGGAAAGTTGACCAAAACAACAATTGTAGATCTTTTTGAGTTTAACAAACTTGGTATTCAAAACTTTTCAATTCGAAGTCATTTAGAGTCCATAATACTAGGGACAAAGTGTTGTTTTTTTCATTTGACCAAATTTGACTTGGTCAAACTTGCTCAAATGAGACACTAAATGACCTCATATGAAAAACTCTGAATACCAAGTTTGATCATCTCAGCAAGATCTACAATTGTTACATAGATCATTTTCCCATTTGAGAAATTTTTATCAAACACTAGTCACAATTTTCCTTATCTCTTATAGACTTCTAAAACTATGTCACACACTTGTGAAAATTGAACTACATTTTGTTCAAGCTTTCTCAAATGAAAAAATGGTCTATATAAGGATTGTAGATATTGATGATATGAACAAACTTGGTATTCAAAACTTTTCAATTTTAGACAATCTAGGGTTCCAAAAACTGGTTTGTAGGCGTCAAAATTTAAAAATCATAAATTTGAACCGTCCAAACTTTCTCAAATGGAAAGTTGACCAAAACAACAATTGTAGATCTTTTGAGTTTAACAAACTTGGTATTCAAAACTTTTCAATTCGAAGTCATTTAGAGTCCATAATACTAGGGTCAAAGTGTTGTTTTTTCATTTGACCAAATTTGACTTGGTCAAACTTGCTCAAATGAGACACTAAATGACCTCAGATGAAAAAACTCTGAATACCAAGTTTGATCATCTCAGCAAGATCTACAATTGTTACATAGATCATTTTCCCATTTGAGAAATTTTTATCAAACACTAGTCACAATTTTCCTTATCTCTTATAGACTTTCTAAAACTATGTCACACACTTGTGAAAATTGAACTACATTTTATTCAAGCTTTCTCAAATGAAAAAATGGTCTATATAAGGATTGTAGATATTGATGATATGAACAAACTTGGTATTCAAAACTTTTCAATTTTAGACAATCTAGGGTTCCGAAAACATATTACATAATATCCGTCTCTAAAACATAATATATTAAACATGCATCGTTGTATCATGCGGGCACAACAGTGAATTTCTTCTTGACGTATGACCCTTGGTTCCGAAAATATATTAAACATGCATCGCATCCATTGCCCTCCCACTGAAATTAAAGCCAAAAAATATTTAGTCAAAAATATTCAAGAAAAGCAGGTCAATTAGCCATAATTATAAAATGCGTAAGAAACTCACATCGCGATCCGGGCACTTGTAGAAAACACGACCCTTGTTGGGTCCCTGTCTCTTGACTCGGTACTCCATCACAATCTTCTGCTTACACTTGCCGCAGATAATGAGAGGGAGTTCGGCCTCAATCGTTTCGCAAACCGAACGAGAGGCCGAGGATCCATAACCAGTTGTCATCTACTTTCTATACTTATTTTTGCAAACTAGTGTAAATTTCATATTTTCAAATATTCATCAAATTATAGCTCAAAAACATGTTTCAATAAATAACCATCCGTACTAGTTGACCTTGCTTACGTGATCATCTCGACGAGCATTTCTCCACCGGCGGCACCACCATATTTAGCCAAGGAAGAGCTCGATTCTACGAGAAAGGGAACACGGTCTTCCACGACCGCTGCTCAGCTCTCCTCGTGAGAATCAAAGCTCCTCCTTGACGTCCGTTACCGCTTCGGCGGAGAACATGCTCGCCGACATGAACACGGTCCGCAAGTTCAACTAGTGCGGATTTTCTACAATTTTCTAACAATTTTCTAAGTTTTTCATTTCATGGAAAAATTAATTCTAAGATCACGTAAGCCACCGGGGGCGAGAATGGCGCGTGCTCCAAATGAGGACGAAAGCGAGGCGTGATTTTGATGAACTAATTTAACTTTTGTTTATCCAAACATATATGCAAATCATCATGTGATTTTGAGCTAAAAATGACATATAAAATCATAATAAAGTCCAACATATAAAGTTACACATGCATCTACATCGCAAAAATGAGATAAGCTACCGATAAAACATAAGAGGATTAAGTTTGTTACCTCCAAAATCAAGAGCAACACCAATGGAGGGGAGAGTGCAAGAACAACAGCAAAAGTTTGAAGAACAGAGGCGATGAGTTTGAATAATGGAATGGCTCGGGCTCGGGGAGGAAGAATTGAGCGTAATTATAGGTCGGGATAATTAGTCCCGTTAGGGTCCAAACCGGGACTAAATATTAATATTTATTCCCGGGGCATAACCCAAACCGGGACTAAAAGCTTTAGTCCCGGTGGTATTACCAACCGGGACTAAAGGTAAACCTTTAGTCCCGGTTGGTAATACTGAAATGACTAAAGATCCCCGCCTTGTGAAGACGATCATTGGGCGAGGACCTTTAGTCCCGGTTGGTATTACCAACCGGGACTAAAGGGTCCTTTAGTCACGGGGGCAAAAAATGCCGAGGCTAATGCTAAATTGGGACATCGTTCTAAAGTCTGTTCTCTAGTAGTGCATGAACTTCGCGGCATAGGCCGGCAGAGGCAGCCGAGGGGTGAGCTCGCGCTCCGGTGTGTTTGGAGGCGGCGAGGTGGGAGCAGGGGGAGCGGCATCCAGGCGACGCTGTTCGAACGGAACAGCATGGACGGTGCGTCGAGAGGCCGGCACGGGGATTTTAGCTGCCGCCGGCGTCCAAACGCAAGTCGGTCGGCGAGAGGCATCGAGCAAGAGCGTTGGCGATGGCCGCAGCGGAGGCAGTTCCGGCAGCGAACCGGATCGCGGCAGTCACGCACTTTGTGGTCAGGAGAAAGGCACCTGATTTCGAAACGTGCCGGCACGGCACTATACGGCCCTAGCCCGCCTGGGCACGGCAGGCACGGTTGATGAGGCGTGCCGTGCCGTGCCGTGCCACCATGCCGGAGTTCAGGCCCAGGCACGGCACTAAACTTGCTGGACCGTGCCTGGCGTGCCGTGTCGGCACGACAACCCAGCGTGCCCCGTGCCGGTCCTGACACTGAAATTACAAAAACATTCATTCAAATCATAAGTTCACAGAGATAACTTCTAATTCATCAAAAACATCAGACAATGCCAGCAGAAAATAGCAAAGAGCAAAGAACAGCAAAGAACACAGGCAAGTTTTGAAACTAAAACTAATTAAAGTAGGAGCTGTGCAATGGCTGCCTCATTAAAAACCTGTTTAGGTAAAACTCACCCTTGTGAGAAACCCTAAACAGGAAAAGAGTACAGCCAACTCCTAAGATTGTTCATAAGTTCATTACATCCAGCCTCCAGCATGTCCAAGTCTTAATAGCTATTACAGAACCATTACATAAATGGGGAACTTAATCAACATCAAGATAAAGTGCTTCAAAGGCCTCTTCCAGCTCCTTATCCTCCACCATGTGCTGCAGTCTTGATTTAGCATTCTCCCAGTCCTTGATGCAGGTTAGTGCCTCCACAGTCTCAGGGTTCAGCCTCCGACGACGCTCCTCGATGATCCTGCCAGTAGTGCTAAAGGTAGATTATGAAGGAATGGTTGACACAGGCACAGTAAAAAATATCTTTTGCAAGAATAGAAAGCACAGGATAAGTAAGCTTGTGCTCATGCCACCATTGCATGAGGTCAAAATCATCATCTAACTGGCTGACTGTGTCAGAGTCCAGGTAGGATGCAAGCTCACTAGAGTTAGAAGTAGAAGCTACCTGTAGCAAAGAAGTGGCAGAAACACCCCTGGACTGATCAAGATTAGGAGGGAGGGAAGAACAGCCATCTCCAATGTCAAGCTCATCATCATCATAAATGTCAGCCCAAGCTGTTCTTTTTTTACCAGAAAGGGATGCAGGAACAGCCCTTTTGAGCCTAACAGAGCCATACATTGCATCATACATGTTGTACATTCTAAAAAGAAGAGCTTCGGTGTCCAGCAACTTGTTAGTGTAATCAACATCAAAAAGAGAATTCAACTTTCTAAGCACTTTGGTAAAGCCCTTAATCTTAGCTCTTGGATCCAGTATGAATGCAATGGAATGAAGATCGTATGTATCTTCTTCAAAGACTTATTATATTTGTCAATCATAGACTGCACAACCGATCTCAGATGTTCATCATGTTGATATTTATGTAGGTGAACAAAGAATCTTAACATTATGATGAATCATAAGTGGAGAAGTAGGATAGTACACACCGATAAAGCAACAAAGAGAGTCATAAAAGCAGTTCAAGAAATTGCAACATCTTAGTTGCCATATCCCAGTGATCATCAGTCAACAAGAAACGACTACCTGCAGGTCTAGGGTAATTAGCCTCAATAAAAATGCTGAAAGTACTCCTGTGAGGTAACAATGTTTTCAGCATAAGGTAGGTGGAGTTCCACCTAACATCCATGTCCAGTGAGAACTTCCTAGGTCTAACACTGCTAGCAATGCAATAACTCTTGTATGCAGCAATTCTTTGATTAGAGGAGTTCAAAAAAGAGATTGCAGTTCTAAAGTTGTCAATAAGAGCATTAACAGCAGCCAATGCTTCCTTAACAATCAGGTTAATAATATGACAAGCACATCGTTGATGCAAAAACATATCAGCACCTAAATACTCTTTAAGTATAGGTTTCAGTTTATCCATTGCATTTTTATTGGCAGATGCATTATCCAAAGTCACAAAAAAAACCTTGTTAAGTATACCATACTCAAGCAAGGGACAGCTTTAACACGCTTTCGACAATATTTTCAAATTACGGAGACATCAATCAACCTTAAACCAAGCACCCTTTTCTCTAATTGCCAATCAGCATTAATGAAATGAGCCACAACAGACAGATAATCTTCTTTGGCCTTTCCAGACCAAATATCAGAGGTAACAGCAACAGATGAAACAACATTGTCTTGCAAACAAGTCATTAATTTTTCACGTTTACCATTGAAGTGCTTAAACAGATCTCTACTAGTAGTTTGCTTAGAGACAGGTGCAAAGGCAGGGTTATGAGCAGTTTTAATGTAATCTTTAAAGGCATCAGTTTCACCAATCAGTAAAGATAAATCTAGCCTAGCAAGCATACGAACAAGCTCAACACGAGCTACATCAGCATTGTACTCCCAGCGACGAACAGAACCATCAGGATTAAAACAAATTTGAGTTTGAGACATGCGACATTTCTCACGACGCTTAACACAAACCTTAAGATGTCGAGTAAGATGTCCAGTGCCATTAGCAGAATAAGCAGAGTATTGTTTCTTGCAATGTTTGCAAGTGGCAGCATACCTGACGGGTCTCGCCTTACCTGACACCTTCTTGAAGTGCTTCTCAAAATCATCCCAGACAGCAGAGGTAGAAGGCCGATTGGAGCATGCCACCTCACTGTCGCCACCGTCGGCATCGGGGTCGGCCCCTTCCCCGTGGACCGGGACCGCATCTTGGTCACAGGGAAGGGGATCAGCAGCAGACCGCCCAAATAGCTCGGCGCAGTCCTCGCAGACATCGTCCTCCTCATCATCCCCGGCTAACCCGCACATCCACAGCTCGTCGTTCTGGGAGTGATCAAACTCCCCTTCATCGGCGTCGCCTACGCCTTGGGCCATCTTTGTCGTCTCCGGTTCCTCGATGGCTGCATCAATCAATAGATGGAGATTAGGGTTAGGGTAGGGGATTAGGGTTAGGGTAGGGGATTACACTTACCTCTAGAGCCGGAACGCCGGAAACGACGATGAGATGGACCAGATGCACACCCCCGGTACCTCAACGGAGACCGGAGCCCCGGAGGTGGCGACGGCCGACGATGAGAACGACGGACAGAAGACGGAGATGCGTCGAGGATGCTACGAACGAGTCTCAATCGACTTTCAGGGATAAAGAACAAGGGAACAGATGGAGATTGAAGGCGGGAACCACCAGATCTGAGAGAGAAGAGGGAGATTGAGGGCAGAGAGGGAAAGCAGGGAGATTGAGGACGAAACCCACCGGATCTGACCCCTTACCCGCCGGAGAACGCCATGGACACGACGGAGCAGGGGAACGAGAGCACGGCTGGGGCGGCGGAGCAGGCGAGACGAGAGCGGCGCAAGGGAGATGAGAGCTGTCGAGACGAGAGCGGCATGGACACGGCGGAGCAGGCGAGACGAGAGCGGCGCGAGGGAGACGAGAGCAGGCGAAATGAGCTAGGGTTTGGTTGGTGGGGGGCGGCCGCGGCGGGTGGCTTATATACCGCAGCCCCGCCAGCGCCAAGTGCCGTGCCTGAGCCGTGTCGCCCGTTGGAACGGGCCGTGCCAGGGCCGGCACTACGGGCCGACTCCTCGGCCCAGGCACGGGCATGGCACCGGGCCAGGCCAGGCACGGGCACGGCTGGGGCGGGCTAGGGCCAGGCTAGGGCCGGGCTTTTTCACACCGGGCTCGTGCCAGCCCGTTTCAACCGGCCTGTTTGGAAATCTTTACGTCCGAGGCGAGGATGGGTTTATGGGTTTTCGGCTTGGGAGAGTGGTGAGGCGCCAGCGTTAAAGCGACCTCGAGGTAGGTCGGCTTGGGAGCGCCCTGGAGTGAAGGCGCATTGACGTCCCTCTTGGAAACCGTGGTCGGGGCGTTGGTGATAAGACCACACGTCGCGCCCATCGCGGGAGGCAAGCTGGATTCCCCCTATTTTTTACTATTTAACCTTTTTTCCCAAGAAAATTTACATTTAGCTCCATGGGAGACTTAAACTCATCTTTGGACCCTGCGGTCGGCACCATGAGTCCTAGCGCCGAGGTAACACGTCTCGACGCCACAGATCTTGGCGTCGAGGTGCCTGAACGAGATCCTATGTAGCGTTGACGTGACCGGTACCTTGACGCCATAATACATGACGCCGAGGTCGGCACCAAGATCTGTGACACCGAGCATGGACGTCTGCAGGACGATGGGACGTGACGAGCACGGCCGCTGCTGTACACTGCCTCGCTGCTGTGATGTGCAATGGCTCACTGTAGTACTAGCTACTGTATGCCACTGTAGACACAACCACACATGCATGCATACACCCACGCAGCTAGCTAGCACTAACAGCGCCACTGCTGCGATTAGTCGACTGTTGTCCACTGCTGTTGCAACTGTACGCCTCCCATTCTCTGTCTGTCGATCGAGCGTGGCCAAGCGAAAAGCAAAGCTGGCCAATATGAGGTCGACAGCGCACACCCTGCGTCCCCAGCGCATGCACGCGCTCCTATCCTGCGCGCCTCTCTCTCTCTCGCAGAATGCAAGCCACTCTTTCTCACAAAGTCAAAGGAGCAGCAGCATGCAAGCGGGCCCGCGGCTATTCCAGGCGCTCTCTCACAAGAAGGAAACGGGGCAGGCAGCACCTCTCAACCGCTCGTGGTACATAAGAAAATTAAAAATTTTCAAGACTAAATTGTTTTTTTGTACGAAAAAGGTAATTCTCTTTTTTTTACTCGCCCGTGAGCGCCTACACCTACACGCCTCCTTCTTCTTTCTTGTTTGGGCACGCACAGGCACAGCCAACCCAGCCTGGAGCAGGCAGCACGACGCATCTTTGCGATTAATGATGTTTCCTTCGTCCCGAGCGGCCTGGGTACTGTAGCAAGAGGCCATGCTGTGCACTTTTTCAGGCACCGTAGTATATGTGCTCCTTTATATAAATTCGATCAAACATTAGAAAAATAGCTTAAATTAATAATAGAAATTAATTTATTTAGGGATAGAAGGAGTATTATAAATTTGTGCATAGATTTAGATACATACTCCTACTCGTACAACTACTGCCTTGTTAAACATTGTTGGTTTCATTAAATAAACCAACCAAATAAGTAAAGCAGTTTTTTCTCTCACAAAAACCAAGACTACCAGGTCAAAACCAAAGACCAAAGACCAACCAAATAACAGGCCCTACAACTACTTCAAACTGCTTATCTTTGCACGGTTTATCTCTATTCATTTTGCTAACACAAGAACCATAAAAACAATATGTACTCTCCATTCAACTATATTCTCTCCGTACTGAAATGCAAGGCCTGCACATATTTTAAAATTCAAAATTTATTTTCTTTGACTAACAATTAGAACGCACTATGTGAAGCAACATGACATCCTATCAACAATTAGAATAGTTTATTTTGTAAGTAAGCAGAGCAAGCAGTAGCTAAATATGGAGGTTCTCTCTTCTCTGCACTGCACCCGTGAGTGCTCTGCTCTCTAGTCCTAGCAGAGCAAGCAGTACCCCGCTCTCACGTCATCACCTTTTCCTCCTGCTATGTCTGTCTGGCTTTTGTCCACTCCTCTAGGAGGACTAGGAGAGTACAGTACCCTTATGTGATGAGCCGAGCTGCTGCTGCTTGGAGGAGCGTGCAACGTGCGGCCTTGTGTGTGTGCGCCTGTGTGCGACTGGACGAGTGGACGACGACTGGAAGCCGGTACCTCGGTGTTAAGATCGGTGGCGTCGAGCTCAGCGCCATATGTTCTGACGCTGAGGTATCGGCCACGTAGGATTTCCTCCTGTGCACGGTCAGTACCTCGGCGTCAAGATTTGTGGCGCCGAGACGTGTTATCTCGGCGCCAGGACTCATGGCGCCGATCCCTAAGATCAAAGATGAGTTTAAATTTTTTAGAGGGCCAAATGTAAATTTTATTTAAAAAAGAGTTAAATAGTAAAAAATTAGGCTGGATTCCAGAGAGAGGCAGTCAGACGCATTCAAGAGGTTGAGCGGGAGGGAGCCCAAGGAAATCCCAGCGCAGGATTTCGTAGAGGTATGGCCGTATGGGTAGCCGTGGGTGGGCTCAGGCTTCGAGACGTCGCGGGCCTCGCAGTAATCGAATTCGTCTTGCACCTCAGAAGAGATGGGCGCGCTCATGAACGCAGTAATGGCGGCATGCAAAGAACCGTGGAAGAACAAACAGACGGAGCCAAGATTCACAGCACCCACGACAACGAGGGCGTCGGCAACGTTCTGATTAGCAACGACAAAACGAAAGACCCCCCTTTGAACCCGCACACAGCTAAGGCGACCCGGAGGCGTGACAAGAACTCGCTGCAATGCATTCCTCATGAAGTGGGTGTTGACTTTGGATTCTTGAGAAGGCGGGGTTAACCATACCGTGGCAGGGGACAGGGAATGCCCAACCTGATTGGGGACGATGGCGGTGTGAAGGTCATGAAGAATTTGTGCTGAAGGAGTCCTCCCAGCGAGGGTGTCAACGATGCCTGACGACGCGGCGGAACGGACCGTCGAGCAGCCTTCAGATGCGGCCGGGACGGCGGCACAGGAAGAACTAGCGGCTGGGACAGGGGCTGTGCGAGTGTGGGGGCTTGGGGGACTTGCTGGGCTGCGGGAGGTGGAGGAGGGGGTGGTGGGGGAGGATATGGGGGTAGGGGTGGCGCCGGCGGAAGGGCTGGGAGTGTCGGAGGAGGTGGCGGGGGTGGCGCGGGCGCACCACCGCCGGGGTCGGGAGGGACGAGGCGCTCACTCATCTCCACTCTGAACAACACGTTCCCAAATCCCAATCAGAGAACGCGCGCGATCGATGTCGATTTTAGGAATTAAACTCTAAAGCCAAATATCTGTGGCCATAAAACTATGAAGTCCAGACAACTTTATCTATGAGTGTTTTTTTTTCTTTATTTTAAAAAAAATAGTCTCTAAAAAATTCATGACTAATGTGTTTTAAATAAAAAATCAACTAGTTTCATTTTTTTTAGAGTGGATGGCGTTGCTCTAACCGTGGTGATCAATTGGTGCTCTTAAGAGTGGGTGGCGTCGCTCGCTGCAAGCGTGTGACGGCCACGCATGCAACTTGGGGACCTGGACCAGAAGCTGACGGAGGGTGTGTTTGCTTCCAACTGGAATCGGATTTGCGATCGACCTGTCGTGAGAATCGAAAAAAAAAGTCACATCAGATGTCTTAGGACGTCCTCAATAGTTGAGGATACTAGCTTAGCTAGAAGTAGAAGCTGACAGAAAAAAAATATACCTGATATCGGGTACCAATGCTTGAACTCTTCAATCCCCACAGTGTCGGCACCGATGCTTGCATGTACGTGGACCCCGACCACAGTACCATCCCCTTCCTTTCTCGATGCTTGTCTGTGCCTGAGATATAATTTTTTATTGGTTCAGGCATCGGTGAACGCACTTGCCATGATACCTGAAAAAATAGACCAAGCATCGGCTGTTACAATGTTCAGCACCGGTGCTGAAACACTATCTCTCCTCTTTCAGCACCGGCAAAAGCTCACGTTGTGGCCAGTCTAAAAAAGTCACTCGCTTGCGAGCCAGGAAGCGCATTGGGCGCGTTCGCTGGTCTGGTACCAGCCGCCTGATCCCCCTCTCAAATAACTGTTCATCAAACTAGCCGAACAGTGTTTCTCTCACACACAACCAGCCAGTTTCAGTTAAGATTCTACCAGTCGAACCGGGCCAATTGGCTCTGCATATATATATATATATATATATATATATATATATATATATATATATATATATATATATATATATATACTTCCATAGTCTGTCACCCAAGCCTTTTTCCTGTTTTTAGTCTTGTCTCCTCCACGTCCACGTATGCTAGTGACGTAGCCAACACCTTGCGTATGATTTTGTTCGTTGTGAAAGACACATACAGAAACCACGAGATTGAAACGTCGGCGGCTACGTTCGGGAGGGTGAAGTTACACGCACCCGTTGCATGTGCGGGAAGAGTAGATGGTTCAGTTTATTAAGATTGAAAAAAGTTGCCTAGGTGCACGGCTAAGGTCTGATTGGTTCACTTCTGAGAGTAGCCTAGCTCGTGGATATCCAGGTAGGCCGAGTGCATGTAGGTGCTAGTTAGGGAGTTTGTTTGCTTGGTTTGATTAGCTGTGATCCAAAGAATATACACTTGCTTGGTTAGTTCAAACTCCCATAGCAGGAGGCACGCTCACTCGTGGCCCGCGTGAGCCGAGCTCTAGAGAAATAGATTTGACATCTGTTTCAACAGAACCAAGCCGGAAGGGTGGCTTTTGCATGAATAGAACCTAGACCAATGCTTACCCTAGTCATCCAAACACCAAGAAAATTGCATATTTGGGACTCTACTCGTCGCGCTTCGCAGTTTTGGGACTCCAAAATGTCCACTTCGCAAAAATGGGCCTCCAAATGTTGCACTATTGATTTTCTTGACATTATGTGTATTTTCTTTTTTTTTCTAGTATGTATACATGTATTTGTGACATGGACAGATCCTTTTGCCCCTGTGGCCTCACGTACACGAGATCTCCACGTACGTGAATGCAATCTACGAAAAAGAAAAAATGATCGAAACTTTCGTCTCTGGCCGCCGCGACGCCGCCGCACGAGGCCATCTGCATGAGACTCCCGCCGGCCATGGAAGGCCAGCCGCCGGAAGACCTCGATGCGCCAGCCATGGACGTCGCCCTCGCCCAGGACGTGGTCGCAGGAGCCATGGCCTCGGCCCTCGGAGCCCTGGCCGCGCCGATCCCTAGCCTAGCCGCGCCCGACGCCATGGCCATATGGATTGCCCGAATAATCCCCACCGCCGGCCACTGCGATCGCCCTAGCAAGGTCTCTGCTGCCCACCGCTCCTCCTCCGTCAATACAGTACAATCTTCTTGCCTCCCAGGGGCGGCGGCGGCGGCCTGCTTGCCTGCCTGCCAAGGCGGCGAGCGTCCAGACGTACGAATGAGCACGTACCAGCAGCCATGGCACGGGTCACGTACGTACCAGCGGCAAAGTACCGAGCAGCACGGGTCACGTAAGCGGCACGGCAAAACAGCAAAAGGGCAAAAAAGTCCATTGAGTGACAAATATACATGGACGAATGCTACCAGAGGTAGAAAATACACCTAATGTAAGAAAATCAAAAATCCAACGTTTGAAGAGTTATTTTTACGAAGTCGACGTTTGGAGTCTCAAGACTGCGAAGCGCAACTATTAGAGTTCCAAATATGCAATTTTCTCCCGAACACTGGTAGGTTGAATCCACGTAGCTGGATGATGTGGGTTAAGATAACGAATCACACTCGTACAATATTTGGACGGATGGATTGGTTTGGTTTACACGGTGTAGGATAGGATGGGTTTGGATGTTTTGAACTTGCAAGTTGATTTGAATTGGATAGGTGTCTCTTTGGGGATCTCATTTGGATTGGTTTCACCAGACATGTTTCAGCAGACAAGGATCTTATAACCCATTTCCAGGCCCAATCGGTCGTTTTGTGGTTCGTGTCCACGTCCAAAGCTTTGCTGAAGGTCCTTGCAAACCTTGGACCCCTGGCTGGATCCTTATAAAATAACTTGTCCATGATAAAGCGTTGAGAGAGAGAGAGAGAGAGAGAGAGAGTAAATAACAGTGATAAATCTTACTACGGAATATTTCCCCTTGAACTTGGAACGGGATAAATGGCCGGTTTGATGAGCGAGGGCTAATTACTGTTAAGCTAAAAATTAGCTCAAATTAACTAAGTTTGACCAGCTAGTTGACTAACAACTAGGCTTTCTTTTAGAATTAGCTAACAACTGGTTAAAGATTTGTCTAACAAATTAACCCTCTAATTTTTAGCTTTTTTTAATGATAAAGAACATACGTTCGAAATCTTAAAAATCGGACGCTCTGCTCTGTGCGTGCTCCAGCACAGCGACCGGCTCAACAGGCCCATCTACGCTCTCTCTCCTCAATCTACTCCATCTACACTGAGACAGATGACAGAAATCCTCAACTCCTCGCTTCGCTCGTCGCGGCTCACCGCGCCGTCCACCCGCCCCAAAGCTGCCTCGTGGTGGCGCCCCCATACCGCGTCGAGCCGCGCCACGTCTGCAGTCACGTTGTGCTCCATCCTCTGCTGCGCCCACTCCACCTCGTTGTGTTGTGCCCGGTCCCTGCCCCTACGCGTCGTGCCCCGTCCTTCGCCGCATCGAGGTGCTGCCAACGCCGCCGTTCCCCACCAGGAGGTTGTGGCCATTGTCGACGCCAGCGCTACCACGACGCTCGACCTCAGCTCGCGATATCACGAGATCCGGAGTGTCCAGACCTGGAGTGGGCTTCTCCGGCTGCACCTCGCGCTCCCTTCCTTCCTCGGATGTTGCAATCGCATGTTGCAAGCGTATGTTTCAAGTGTTTCAGGTGTTTTATATGTATGTTGCAAGTGTTTCATGTGGATGTTGCAAACATAGATCGTAAAGTTGCATATGTTGCAATGGCTATACAAGCATGTTGCAAGCGTCTGTTCCAAATGTTTCGGTTGTTTTAGACGGATGTTGCACGTGTTTTATCTGGGTGTTGCATGTATTTCACACTTATGTTGTAAGTGTTTCATCCAGATATTGCATATGTTTCCGCACATATGTTGCAAGTGTTTTATCTAGATATTGCATATGTTTTGCAATGGTTACACACTTGTTTCCCTTATTTTTCAGACTAATGTTGCAACTGTTTCAATTGTTTCGGACGTATGTTGCAAATATTTTCTATAAATATTGAAAAAGTAGATCTGGTGTTGCACATATTACAGTGGACCCCATCTACTGCAGCTGTTGAGCCCGCCTGCATGCGTGTAGGTGTGGAGGGGGCGTGAGTGGCAGGAGCGAGAAACCATGCGGGCACAGATCGAGATAGAAGCGGGCGTGGGACACGGAGCGGCACGGGACACGGAGCGGCGCAGCGTGGGACCCCACGTGAAGCAAGCGTGCGCGCGCGGGCTTCTGGACGCTAGCCCCCATCCTAACGTTCGGGCGCTAGCCTTTTCCTTTTTTTTAGCAACACCCTCTATTTTTTTGCTAGCCAGTGGTCAGGCTTGTATAAAAAAAAGCCCCAAAAAATAAAAATAGTGATCCGTTGCCTACTAACCATAACCTGAAGGCCTGGCCCAATATCTAGCGATCCGTTACACACGCATGGGAATCCAACGGAGTGTGATATTTAACTTTTTACCATTATAACGGATGCCATCTCGTTAGATAGCACTCTTAAAATTGCTCCTACATATTTACCATCGAGAGAGAGCATTTGATACATTCTTGCCATTTTTCCTTGACGTGGCACGCCAACTCGACCTGACAGCATAGACCGTCCACGGAAAATGACATTTTTATCCCTCATCTATTTCTTCTATCTCTATCCCTTCCTCGCTCGACCTCCGGCCATGGCCGGCGATGGGGTCCATGGTGGCGGCTGACAGGACATAGGGGAAGTTGGGGGCAAGGTAGCCGGGGCCACGACCTGCAGGTCCACGACGGCGCCCGACGTTGGCGATGAAAATGGCCGCAGCCCGCAGGGGAAGGCTCGGTCGCAGCGCCGAGGAATGGCAACCAAGCCGGTCACTGTCGGCGACCTCATCCACCGCGTCGCCTCCTTCTGCCTCTCCAACCGCCTACCCTAGAACTACACCCTCTGCGACTCCATCGACAACGACCTGGACGACGACGATGACCCCTTCGCCGACGCCGTCTCCAACGGCGAGAAATTCCGGTGGTCCCCGTCCGCTGCGGAGGCGGAGGAAATGTGGAAGAGGAGGGGGGAGGAGGAGAAGCTCAAGATCTGGGAGGAGGGGGAGTAGGAGAAGGAGAGGCTGGCCGCCGCGGCCAAGGGCACCGAGCGCGCCCGCGACGTGGACGCTCTGATGGCGGAGGTGTTCGACGCCGTCTCTCGGTGCGCCGCGCGCTCGGTAGCGCGCACGCCTTTGGGACATCGACAAGATGCGCGCCGTGGACGCGGCCGTCGTCGCCGAGCTCCGCCACCTCACGCGCCTCCGCGACCGCTTCCGTCGCTCCGCCGCCGCGGGCCACATCCCACGCCTGAACCCTTCCGCGCCGCCCTTCCGCGAGGCCGTGGCGCCGTACGAGGCGGCGCTCGACGACCTCCAGCGCCAGCTCCAATCCAAGCAGGCCGAGGTGGATGGGGTTAAGGAGAAGCTCGTGGCGGCCACCAGACGCCGTGAACGGGCGCCATCACCACCACCCGCTCTCAAGCGTAATGGCCCCCGGCCTAAGGCGACGCGGTGAGCTTTTCACCTCCTGTGCCGAAGCAGGCCCAGCTGCGGCGACACGGGCGTCATCAGGGGCACCTCAGCAGACTTTTGATGCGCGCTCGTCAGCGGGCTAGAGTTCGCGGCGGCCACTCGATCGCTCACCAAGATCCCGTGTCCTCCCCTGCACTGGCCAAACACGCTAGAGGCGCACGTCACGCGCGCCCTCCTCGGCGGCTTCGAGCACGAGTCCTTCTACCTGGACGGCTCCCTCTCGTCGCTGCTGGACCTCGCTGCGTTCTTGCGGGAGGTCGAGCGAGGAAGGGATAGAGATAGAAGAAATAGATGAGGGGCAAAAATGTCATTTCCTGTGGCTGGTCTATGCTGTCAGGTCGAGTTGGCGTGCCAGGTCAGCGAAAATGGCAAGAATGTATCAAATGTTCTCTCTCGATGGTAAATACGTAGAAGCAATTTAAAAAATGCTATCTGAAGAGGTGACATCCGTTATAATGGTAAAAAGTTAAATATCCCCAACGGAGTAGCCCAGTTGAGGGATGAGACACGACGTTCCTCGATTAGAAGCTAGGGTTGGGAGTCGATGGGGACAGGCTCATCCTCTTATAGGAATATTCGTTTATCCAGAGCTGTTCTAGCTCTAACTCCTTAGTTTGCCGTGTTCTTTAGCTCCAAGTTAACTCTTCTAAGAAAAACATTTGGTAAATAACTGTAACACGTCGGATAAGACATCCCCAACCCACAGCCAGTGGGCCAGCCATGGCCCAAGAGAGGGGCGCGCGCCTAGGAACGGCGGCGCCTCTACGTCTTGCTTCCCCCAGAAGGAATTAGAAGGATAAAATAGAAATAGAAAGTAAATTAGGAGATTAGAGTTTGGTTTGTTTAGAAAAGGAGAATCCAATCTATAAGTATATCTCCCGTAGTTGCTTGGAACACCAGTTTTATTGGGCCTATAAATATAGGAGAATGTAATCAATCTAATCAAGCAAAGAATAGAGCTGTTGCTCCTTCCTTTATCCCTCTCCCTCTCTCTCTGTTGCGCCGCCTCCTCCTCTTCTCCTCCCTGCGTCGCCCCCCTCGTCGTTCCCTAAACCCTAGCCGCCACTACGCACCATAGCCGCCGCCACCCCTAGCCCAAGCAGCCCCAGCCTAGCGACGTGTCCATTCAAACAACAACAGAATGTGCCTTTCATAATTAGAACACATGTCCATTCAAACAAGACGAAAAAACTTACAAAAGTGCACAAGAAATATATGTCCATATATCATGGTATCACTCTGAAGCCGCTTGTTCAAATCATCGGTACCGTGATGATAATTCTTGCCAACCAAATATTACTATGAGCGGCCAACACATGAGGAACATTACCTTAGAGATACTAGATCTTAATAGTGGCAATATTCCTGGTCTAATACATAACACTAACAAAAGCACAGTAAATTTTTCAGTTACTGAGGGAGAATGGAGGATGCCTATTGAAAGAATAACCACAATGACCGCAAGTGAGGTTTTAGCAGCAACTGGAGTAATCAAGATATATACAGCTATTGCAAAGGCTATGGCCAAGGACCCTACTGCATTCAGAGATAGCCATATGGATATATTGTAGTGCATGTAACGCATTGGCAACTCAACTGTAGGTGTTCCAGCAAACACAAGGCTTAGGACGGCTAACGACGAGCAGAAAAACGCTAGCGTGTTTGCCATCATAAATCCTTGAAATTGTTTTACTCGAGCTAGAGTTGGAGTTCCTCCATGAGTGTGGTCATCAGCTATGTACCCCCCAGGTAACGCAAAAGTAGCACCAAATGCCATCGTTGTAATTAAGACTAAGCCAACGCTAAGAAATTGTGTTGAATTTGATACTATTGCAGACCCTTTTTCCTCATTCTCTGCATCAGATTGGGGACTATATTCTTGCATATTAGCATCCCGCCGAAAAACACCACGAGTAGCATTGGCAGCTATTAGTGTTTCCTGTATCAGAATTCGTGAGTTCTGCAGAGAGGAGATAGAAATGTTAGTTTCCTTGAATTTTGGTCAAAAAAATATAAGAAACATGTGAGAAATTTTATTTTGGAATTGACTATATTACCAGGAGGCAGTACAGTCCTGTGGGAATAGTGTTAACAGCAAGTTCCAGTGGGGTTTGTTTATTGTTGTTTGGTAAATTCAAGTCCACCTGCTTGTTGGCAAATAGGCGAGCGAAAATCCACCAATCCCCAACCTCAACAGCTAGATGTAGAGCAGTGTTCCCTTCATTGTCTTGCTTGTTCAAAATCGTTGACAATGCCGGCGTTTGGCATGCATATGCAACTATACTGTATCTCTTCTTCTTGGCAGCAACATGAACAAATGTTCTTCCATCTGAGTCATGCAATCCTGCACAACCAGGGAACTTTGTGACCAAAACGATGACTGCTAGAAGTCTACCTGCCGAGGCTGCAATGTGTATAGGGAACGACCCTTTTCTGTCTGGTTGAACTGCTGAATATGCATCTACTTCCAGTAATTGCCTGGTAAGTTCCAACGTTGGTTTTGTTATGTTCAAAAGGGTCGCAATAGCTTTTCCTTTTTTAACCGGCACAGCATAGAGGGGAAGCATTCCATGTGCCTCCCCTTCTAGTGACAAAGCAAAATGTAGCGGCATGTTTCCATGTTCATCCTGCTCTTTAGTGAGTTGCTTGTTCCATTCCAAAAGCAATTCTGTCATCTCTGAAAGGTAGTTCACCTAGCCCCATTAGTGTTATTTATAGTCCACAAAGAAAAGCTGTGAGATAAGGATTCCTCTCCCCTGCATCTTGCGGGTAGGATGCATGTTCATATGGCTTACAGAACTCTATTTAATCTTTGTGTGTTTCAAGGGGCGCTCACCAATCAAAAACATGACCACAACATACTACAAAACCTTTAATCTTTTTTCAACTTTGTCATGCTGCATCTAAAATTTCTTATTATTTGGTTGAAACATGGACATGGAACTTTTTTGTGGATTAGCTTCATGATTTATATCAAATTTTTAGAGTCTTGTTCAATTCACCGTTTAATTACTCCCTCAGTTCTAAATTGTAATAAGTCGTTTTCATTTTGCAATAAGTTAAACTTAATGAACTTTGACCAAATCTATAAAAAAAAATATTAACATATATACAATAATAAAACAAATAGACTATCAAAATATATGACATGGTACATCTAATGGATCTCGTTTGATGTTATATATATTTGTGCATTTTTCTATAAGCTTGGTCAAGGCCAGAGAAGTTTGACCTTCCAACAAAACATACGAATTCAAATGGTAAGTGTGCTTTAGTTAAAATTTGTGTATGCACCTTTGCTTTGAAGGACCGCGGCAAGCCAGGCATTTTGTCCAGCCGGTCCTGCGTAGGACAGCTGGTTGTCCCTCGCGTGCAAGTCCCGTACGATGGCGTACCGGCGTAGAGCGACGGCCAGGTACAGCGGCGAGACGCCGGCGTCCGGGACACGAGCCAGGCACGGGTCCGCCGTCATCAGCACGGCCACCGCCCGCATGTCGTCCCCGCGGACCGCCTCGTGCAGGGTCGTCTCCCCAACGCCGTTCTCCATCCTCAGGAGTGCCCTCCTCCTGTCTTCCCCGCCTTCCTCTTCTCCGGCCAAGCGGATAAGAAGAGCGAGCATGTCGACGTTGCCCGCCCTGACGGCAACGTGCAACGGCGTGCTCCTCCTCTTGTTGCGTGCCTCCAAGAGGTGCCTGGCCTTGCTGTAGATCACCATGGCGCTTCGCAGGTGCCTGTCGTCGTCTCCGGCGGCTGCTACCACATGGAGTGCGGAGTCCCCGTCTGAAGTGACGCCTTGGAGGAGAAGCGACGTCGTCGTCGTCGGCAATGGTGGGCTCATCATGTTGCTGCGATGGATATCGATCTCAACGAACACTGCTGCTTGAGATGCATCGGCGGCCAAGTTGCTAGGTCGACGGTGCTCGATTGGTACGGCTTGATGATCTTCCCCGTTGAGAAGGCTCGTCAGTTGCCCATGCCAGCCATGGCATGCCGCCATGAGAAGCTCAGGGTGCATGGGTGGTGTGGACTGTGGAGTGGCTCCATTGTTGTCCATGGCAAGCTGCAGTGTGCCGGATTGCGACATCACTTCACCTGCCGCAGCCTGTTTACATATCGGCCAGCGCCAGCGGGTTCCTCAAACTACAAGTAAGGAACAGTATGCATGTATCATGTGCTGCTATGTGAAGAAAATTCACGAGGTTGCGTCGAACGGAAGCAATACCTTGTTTGCATCAGACAAGAAGCAACGAATGGCCGACAAACGCTTTATGTAAACAGAAAGGTGGATGCAAGAGCTGGGCCCTTCTCTTATCTCTTACTTTATGTAGGATATACATGTAAAGCCGATTAAGAGCTACTTCAGACAAGCTTCGGAACCCAGCTCGACAAACCAACAGACCATATACCCCTCTTACAGTAGTCCTCCCTCTATTTAAAAATTATAAATCATTCTAACTTTCTTAAAGAGTCAAGAACATCTCAATTTTAGAGAGAATTATAAAGGTTTATAACATCAAATAGATATACTATAAAAATATAATTAATAAAAAATATAATGATACTTATTTGGTATCATAAATATTATTATTTTATTATATGAATTTGGTCAAACGCTTTTGACTCCCCAAAAAAGTTGTGACTTATAATTTGTGATGGAGGGAGTAGTATAATACTATAAGTTTATCAACACATGGAATTCGCACGTCGTAGGCGCTCCCACACTGTTGGGTCACTGTTCACATGTACTATCCACGTGGAATTCGTGCGTCCTGATTGTTCCGACTACTGTTCTGTCATTGTTCATAGACACTGTTCGCATGGACTTCGCGCGTCCTGACCGCTCCGATTAAATGTGCGTGGAATTCAAGCGTCCTGAGTATTCCAATTACTGTTCATTCACTGTTCGCAGCGATCGCTCCGATTACTCGCGTTGATAAACTTACTATACACGCAACAGTATTAATTCATTATTCTAATCCCACAAACGTAACCAGCATAAATTGATAAGGGTAAAATATTTCGTTCAAAAAATTAAGGGAGAAGTACATTCTACGACCTTAAACTATTAAACCAGGCAAAAGATACTCTTGAAGTGTCAAAAGCATAGACATTTGGTCTTCTCTTTCCTAAAAATTAAAAAAATGGTTTGATCTCTAAAAGTTCATAATAATTTATTTTAAATTAGAAAGATATAAAACTAGTGCTAATTTCTATTAAAAATATTATATATATGTTGGTGCTCTATTTATAGTTATTTGAGTCTTATTTGTTTTAAATAAATAATGAGCACGGCTACAAGCAACAAAGCAATAAGGGCAGAAATAAGCTAGATTCAAATAACTATATGTAGATCATAAGTAGGTTGTTTAGAAAAAATGGCACCAGTTTCATATTTTTTCTAATTTAGAATAAATTAACTATGAATTTTTAGATATCAAACAGATTGTTTCATTATTTTTCAGCAAATAGAAACCCACCTTTGAAACCAATTAGGGGACCAAATTTATTTGGTTTTGATAATTGGAGGGTGTCCGTTATTCAATTTTATAATTCAGGGTTAAAAATCAGACTGAAGTACAACTTGGAGGTTAACAATGTGTACTTCAATGGTAAAGTATCATTTGGAAAATTTGGATTCGTACACACAGCATATGAAATTTGTTCATCCTACTAGCAGCAAACGGATTTGAAAAGTTTTGATCCTTCATCAAAACACTTCCCCATATATCTACAATCTGCACACGTGCTCCAATTGCCACTACTACAAAACATACCATCCCTGCAGGCCAAGGCCTGTTTAGATCCCTTCCAGTTTGGAAAATGGACACTGTAGCACTTTCGTTTGTATTTGACAAAAATTATCCAATTATGAACTATTTAGGCTTAAAAGATTCGTCTCGCCAATTACGGACAAACTGTGCAATTAGTTATTTTTTTTACCTATATTTAATGCTCCATGCATGTGCCGTAAGATTCGATGTGACAGGAAATCTTAGGAAATTTTGGATTTTGGGTGGGATCTAAACAGGGCCCAACATTGTCGAACAATTTACGGTGATAGGTGTATCACTGTCGTTCATTTAAAACCAACCAGAAGTGATAGATAATTATCACTACGGTTGGTAGTACGACCGACAACGATAAACCCGCAGTGATAAACTTCCCCAGCCCAAAAACAAAAAGCAATCTAGTTAAGTCAGACCTCAAGTCCAGTACTCAAACCATTTAAGTCTGGCACCCCTCAAATCCAAGCGCAGGTGGTGGTCTCTCTCTCTCCCCCCAGCAGCACTCTCTGTCTCTCTCTCTCTCTCTCCCACCAGCCATCTCTCTCCCCTGGCGATCACCTGGCGGTACGGGGTGAGGCCCCCGACGGCGAGGTGCGAGGCCCTGCAGTGATGTGGATTTTTGATGTGTTTAATAGGGCAGTGAGTTGGATCTATGATGTGTTCTGTAGGTGATTGATGAATCGACCTACGATGTGTTGAATCTCCCCCTCCCTTCTGTATATAATGTGTTGAATCTTCCCCTCTCTCTATGACGTGGATGAATCGATAGGTGATGTTGTTAGGTCAAGATGCCGACTAGAGGGGGTGAATAGTCATTTCTAAACTCAATCATGTCAGCTAACTGAAAACAACATTAGTACATAAATGATTTTTGCAAACGCCTCACTTTTCTAGCAGAGGCGGTTCACTTAGGACGCTGTCTCTAACCTTGACGAGAGGCACGGTTGCTACATGATCGTCGCTGGAAATCAATTCTCAAGGGCGGTTCCGTTAAGAAAACGACCCCTAGAAACATGTCTATTTCTAGGGGCAGTTCCTTTAAGTGAACCACACCTGAAAATATGATTTTTGGGAACGCTCGTCTTTACAGAACCGTCTCTAGAAGAGACAGATTACCAAAGACAGTTCTCTTAAGAGAACTGCGTCTCAAATCTAATAATAGGGGCGGTGCTCTTAGTCAACCACCCCTAAAAATAAGCCGCCTAAATATGCTTGTTCCTGCTCACGACAGTGTTGTATATCATTTTTAAGCTCTAGGTCTAGAATAATATAATATTTGTAAAAAAAATTAGACAATTTCTGCAATATTTATATGCGAATAATATCTTGATGCAAATATACCTTTTCTTTTCGAAGACCAAATATGGACAGCTCATGAGGGTACACGAAATGAAGACATGCTTTGATTAAAGATCATGGAGTACAAAATTAAGCCTAATACAAAATTAAAGATCACGGACAGGTCATGGAGTACAAAATTAAGCCTAATGCATTAAACTAGATACAAGCCCTTTGGGCTAAATCAAACAAAACACCGATAATCTAATCGTAGGAGCGAAGCTTGACAGTTCTTCAATCCACAGGCATCCTTGAGAGTATATCACAAACCAACTACCATCACAACACCACTACAAGGCAAGTAATCCGCACACCACCAGATGTGTGTAGGCCATGGTTAGCACCGATGAGCTTTGGTGGAAAATAGAAAATAAAGGGATCTGGTGATCCTAAGGGTTTGGCTGTAGTTTGCATCCTTAGCACATGCGAAGTAGCATCAAAAGTAGTGTATAAATCTTCTCTAACTCAATCCACAATCTTCCTACATACAAGATGTGAATGGTTTTATTGAAGCCGCTAAAAGACATGCTTTGATTAAGTAGACAGAGGAT